CCAAAAATCCTTAAAAAACTTGCTCACGTGATTAATGGACGCCTTCTAGTTAGTTTTTTTGTAAAGATGGGAATTTGCCGACCTTGCAATAACTTGTGTGACGATAGATTTTAGAGTCTAAAATAACATACTTATATTATAGGCCTACGATAAGCGGTTGAATTATAAAAAATTGCCAAAATTTGGAGTTGCGCAGCGCGCTTAAGCGATTTCTAATCAGATTCTGTGTCTTTCGTGCATTCCATGTTTTGTAGATAGCAACTGATTACATTTAACGTTGAAGTTGAAAAAAATACATTTTTAGAACCCGAAAGGGATGAATTAAAATATGTCAAATAAATTAATCAATTTTTTCAATTGCTTATTGAATAATATATAAGTATGTCTGAAAGACAGGAAAAATTGGACATCGCATTGATTATTAATTTTTATTGAAAGCGAAAGTTGGATTTTCGAAATATCAATTGAGCATTTTACCTAAATAGCTGAATCTCAATTCTTATTAATTGTGTATACGTATCGAAAAGTAAATGTAGCTTGCCTTGGCAAAACGCTACTTTTACAACTAGTTTAGTGAAGATTTCTCACCATTGCGCTCCCAAATCAACTTTATTGCTTCCAAATGGTTTTGTGCAAATTCTGCCGCCAATTCTATCACTGGCCTCTAATACGATCACGTTTTTAAAGCCGCATTTATTTAATTTAACGGCAGCTGATATACCTGCTGCACCCGCTCCAACAATCACAACGTCTGGGGTCATTGGAATAACTAAGTTTTTTCGACTAAAGAATTATACAAATCTTAAGTAACTTTTTATATAATGAAAATCTTAATCATATCACAATCAATGCTAAGTTTTGAAATCAGAGTAAAGTAGAAAATTGGTTTTCCACACGTTTCCAAATTTACTATTCTCTGAACTGAATTCCATCAGCAACCTATATACCTAAAAAAAGCCGGAATTTATAAACAAGCGATAAGACCAGTTTTGTTTTTCGCTTATAATTGTTTATTAAAATTTGTTTTATTATTGAATTCTATATAATTGGGCACTATTAATTAACTGCTGACGTATATAATTTATTTTAAAAAATTACTTTTATTTATTGAATAAATCGTGATATTTTTCAAGGATAACATTTGTTTTACAATCTATGCTTTGTAAATGTAATAAATTTTCCGCAACTCTTAGATAAATTGTGATGCGGTCAACAAACTAATATAAATGTCGGTCCATAACTCCATAACAAAGATAACTAGTGGTGTATGGTATCGTGCCTTAAAGGCAAATTGCTAGAACTGTTTGAATTGTTGAGGAATGTTTTTAAATAAATTATTATAAATACTGTAACATTGTCGACTGAACCTGCCTTTGCCAAAAACTAATCACCACATCTTCCTATCAACAGGAATCGAATGTTTTTTGAACCATTCAAATCGGTTGATTCGTGCGCCCAAAAACGTGAACGAAAAATTTTTCAAATTTTTTTTTGTATATCGAAAATAATTCAGATTTTAATTTTAATTCTGACTAAAGCTCTAATATACTTTATACAAATAATAACAATATAAATATTAGACTATGTTACAATATTTAAAATAATCTATTTGAAAGCATTTATTATTGAACATTCGAGCAACATTTCGTTACGGTACGGGAAGTACCAGCAATTTGCCTTAAGGCACGATGCCATACACCACTAGTTAGGCAATTAAATTAGATAGTGATGATTTATTGTGATATTGTGGTTCATATTAAAATATATTTTGGAGGTTGGTGTATAGGTTTTGGGCGCTACCAGCGTCGAAGCAAAAGCTTGAGGTGAATAATGAGCGTCCAAAATCTTGTGCTGTAAAATTATTCCAGAAGGACGAACAGCCTAGAAATTTTTCCTTCTTGTTCGTTCTTTTGTACTCATCTTTCCAAAGCAATTTTACTAGACAAGAATTGTCATAGACGTTCATTATTTAAACTTAAATTATTTTTATAAAAATAATTTAAGTTTATAATAATCAATTTTTTGCAACAGTATAAAAATACATATATGATAAATTCATTATTACAGGATTGAGCCTTTGGCAACATTGCCAAATATATTTAAATATTTTAATTAATACAAAAATAAAGTAAATTATAGAGTAATGTGAAATATTGTTTAGCGTCATTTTTACGCTATTGAATACGTATTAATTGTTAAAAATTATGCTACCAAATGCATTATATTCAAACTAATAGGAATATCCATAATCTTTGATTCACCTGAATCTTCATCCTGGGTTCTGACGTGCCCCGGAGACCGGAAGGTGCAAATGATATTTTTGAATATAATCTTACATCGGGAACAGCTCTAGAATGGTGCTAAAACCTTTTTTGAATAAACTGTTTGCCGTCTAGATGAAAAAATATACTTTAATGAATTGATTAATAAACACACAGTGTTAAACTTTTTCTTCACATTTCAAAAAAACTAATCTCTTTTAAAACTTTACTCCCGGTGCATTTTTTCGATGTCCACATGATCAGTACATGAGCATGATATAATTTTTTCATTTGCATTAATATATTTTCTGTTATCAGCAATTCAACTTTAATTTGAGAATAAGTTGATTGTAAAAAAAATATTTATGTAATTATAAGCTTTTGTAGACCACCAGATCCGCGCGGAGACGAACGCTGTAATAATTATAATTCAGTATAATAACATATTTCTTCTTATTGGATCCTAGTTTGGCTGATAGTCCTTTATACTATATGAACACATAATATGATGAAGAAAATATGCTGCAAAGAGATAAAATAAAATAGTTTCAACAAAATTTCTTTTGCTGTAAAAACTCTTAATTATCAAAAAGATATTACAATATGAGTCTAATAAATAGCAACAGACATATTGAGTTCAATATATATTTCTTACAAATATTTCTGAACAATGAAGATTCTAATTATGATAATGATTTTGTATACATACTTATTTTGATAAAAATAAAATAGGTGTTCCAACTCAAAATGTTTTTTTCTTGTTTAACTGCAATTAGTTACTTTATAACTTCAGGTTACATGTACAAATCATAATAGATGTTTTCATTGAGCTTTTATAAATTCAGTCAATCCTTCAAGATTTAAAATTTTGCTTGTATTTATTAAAACACGGAATCATAATATAATATTCTTTTTAATACAAAACAACATACCCAAATTCAAAATAACTCACATTCACACTTAAAAATATTAAATATATGTACACAATTATTTAGTTTTCTCATGAATGTTTTTTCTTCATGGAAGGTTTTTCAAATATTTGTTTCATACCCGCTGCCTGATTATTCACAAATTTCATACTTTGTGCTGTATCAGTTATCCAGGGTGAGTCAAACTGTGTTGTGTCTTGATCTACTAAATGAGTGTATTTAGTACGTCCAGAACGACCAAAGTTTTTAACTTGCATAACCTGAAAGTAACATTTGTTTAATATAAATATGAATAAGCTATCCATTATCAATAATAATAATCAACAATTAAATTAATGATTGTATTAATTGTCAAATTCATATTTTTCATTCTGTTCATTACCTTTGGCAAAACAGTTTTGTCAAAGTGATCGTCCAATGTTGCTCCACTGAAGTCCTGCTTGTACACAGCATCTTCTTCATCCAAATAGAAGGCACCACGATGATAGTACTTTTGTAAAAACTTGTATTTTCCTTTAACAGCTTTATTGGTGATAACTTTAGGCTTAGCTCTAAGTTCTTGCCTTCTTTCCTCTTCAGTTAATGATCTAATTCTTTCAACTTCCTGTTTTTCTAAGAACATCCTGAAATAAAAAATAATTTAGTATTAGTAATAAATTAAGGAAAAGAACAGATATGTTTTGAAAAAATACATAATCTGAAGATAGAATTAAAACAATTAAAAATTATGCAAAGATTTTCAAAATATCAATGAGTTAATTATCACATATTGAAAAAATTCAAGAACCTTTCTCTTTCTTCACGATCTCTTTTAATACGTTTTAATTCTCTCAATTTCCAAGCTTCAAATTCCAATTCATCATTATCATCATCTGTATTAACATCTTCCAAGCGTGGATCTGTAGTTGAATTCTACAAAATGAAACAAAAAATTCAATACACTATTAGTAACTTTTATTGCATATTGCATACCTTGCTTTCTTGAATATCTTTCCTAATGCTTTCTTCAACCATTCTTAAAGTTTGCCGTTTACGCTCCTCAGCATGACGTTTGGCCTCTTGCTCTAATTGCTTTTGCTTTTGTGCTTCCTTTTCTCGTTCAATTAAAGTAACTCTATCCTTACGACTAACAAAGACAGGTTTCAGACGAGGCCCAGTTTCATTTTCTTCATCATCATCACTTTCATCAGTAGTATATTCTTCATAACTCTCAGAGGATGATCCAGAGCTATCTGAATCTATCAATAGCAGAAAACTTTGTTTATAATTTCTGAAATTAAGACATACTTTGTCTCTGACAGAGATAATATTAACTATCTGCGTTAATAAGTCAAATTTAAAATTTAATATTTATGTAGTTTATTTAATCAAAATTAACCTTTCTCTGCAGCTTCTGCTGCTGCAGCTGCTTCTTCTTCAGCTCTCCTTTTAGCCAACATACGCTCTCGAAGAGCTCTACGTCTCCTTTCAATTTCATCATCACTTAGGTCTTCTTCATCTGTGCTGCCGCCTCGATCTGAACCACTGTCTAATCTAATTGGTCTTCTTTCTAAAATTTCAACAGTCTCTGGAATTACCTCTTCTTTTTCAATTTCAGGTTCACCCTCATCTAGAATCTATACAATTCAAAATATATTAGAAATTGAAATAAGTATTGGGAAATGGTTCAGTTTACTCTAAAGATGTTAATAATATTAAAAGAAAATTATATATTGATAATTTTGCTTTCACAATTTAATAAAATGTAATTGAAAAATGTAAAAAATCTTTGGATCCTAAAAATAAATCTTTATTAAAGATCAATTTAAAGCATATTCTTTAAGCACTTTTTGTTTACAGATATACATTATATGAATTATTAACTCTAGCTCTAATTGTAAGTTAATATATAAAAAGTGCATGTTCATTAGTGGAAGAGAAGAACCTTAAGTTACATTTAGTGCAAAAGAGTACATCACTAAATCAATTCTCCGACGACACTAGTGTGATTGTAAAAAACAATTCTTTAGAAGAAGTAAATACTAAATTAAATCTAGTTATGAATTCAATTTCGAATTGGTTCAATTGTAATAATCTTTTGCTCAAAAATGTCAAAACCCAAATTATGTCTTTTCGAACAGTAAATAGGATAAGTCATGAGATCAATTCTGTAACTATCAATAGCATTTGAATTTATCTTAGTCTCTAAAATTCTAGGTATCCAATTACAAAAAAAAATTGAACTGGGACAATCATATTCATTCCATACTTGTACCTAAGTTAACAAAAAATTGTTTCATATTGAGGATTCTAAAATCAGAAGTTAGTTTAAATTTTCTTCTTTCAATTTATTATTCTAATTTCTATTCACATCTCGCATATGAAATACAATTCTGGAGATTCTCATCATACTTAAAGGATATATTCAAAATACAGAAAAGAGCATTAAGAATATTTTTTTCCCGCAGTTCCGACAATTTAACATTCTCATTGTTTCCTGTATATTTTTGCTAATTATGTTGTCATTCATAAAGAATAACCCTAAACGCTTCAACCTATCCTCCATGTCAAATTCCTATTACATAATTAGAAATTTTACTATAGAAGGACCAACTTTTAAACTTGAAACATCTTTCAATACCATAGACGGAAGAGGAGTACAGCTTTTTAATCTACTCCCACTACATGTTAAGAAATGGGGTGATCGTCAATTTCATAATACCATCGTTAAACCTTTAAAAACCCAAAGTTTCTATGATACTTTGGAATTTGCCAATTTCAATATCAAACAATATTTTGATAATGAAATGCCTGCTGATTATATCTGATACTTTTTTTTCAACAGTTACAATTATTTTTTCCTTTTTCCATATTTTTTCTAATTTTTATTCCAAATTATTTTAACATTTTTCTACCCTAAGTTTACCCTTTTATCTTTACAATTATTTTCATATTATATTCATATTTTGATACTGCCCTTAATTATTATTTCCAGATTTGGGACTCAAGTGAAAATTGCATAATGGATATTTAAAGGATTTCTTCATCATAAGAAGAATCTCAAGATCTGCAAGCCTTAAATAAACTATCTCAATATCATAACATTTTTTCTTCAAGTTATTGTATTAGATAATACTAATGTTAGGCTTAATATTGCTTGAGAGTTGTATTTTACTGTAATGAATTTAATTAAGATAATTTATTTTCTGTAATTACTAAATTTAATCCTGTATCCGCAATATAAATAAACATAAATATAAATTTATTAATCACCTCAGGTTCAGCAATATGTCTTCTTCTTTCACCTCTTTCTTCAGTAAACGCAACATCATTTTTACGAGCTGTTAATCTTCTGAGCCGTGGATCATCTGGATCTTGGTCATCAATTGTTTCAGGAATTTCTTCTTGTTCTTGCAAAGCATCTTCTGATCTTTTTTGACGATAATTGTTTTTATTATCAATAAAATCGTCAGTCTCAGACTCTTCTTCAGAAGTTTCACTTTGAGCATATTCAGGTCGTTTGCCAGATACATATCTCTGGACTTTAACTTTTTTCATAGACAATTCACCTAATAATAAAAATAAAAATAGAAACAAAATCAAGGGTAAATATAACATAATAAAATAGCATTTGATATAACCTTTTTCATTTCGAACTGGGACAGCTCCGGCAGTACTGTGGATACCAAATTGACTGTGTATATTTATCATTTTGATTGTTGTGTTTTTATTTTAATATAACTTTGTTTGTTTAAATATAAATTTTAAGTATTTACGATTCCTGGCAATTTACATTGTTTTACAAGGCGCACGTTTTTGACAGGCAGGTGAACCAACCTCAAAACAACACAAATTTTAACAGTTGTCATACCTGCCATATATTTTGTTTGCTATTTGAATTTTATAAACTTCAAAAATATTGCATTAATAAATGACAAATACTAATTTTTATATAATTCATACATAATAGATTCCAAAGGACTGTCATACAATATTGTAAATATTGTTCTTGTATATTTTTAAACTAAGCGCCTGCTGATCCAGAATGAGTTACCATGGATACAATGTGTAAGCAAATAATAGCAATTATTTTGTTTATTAACGTCAACAGTGTAATCATAGACAATACATAATTACGACAGAATGATTTATATTTTTATTTAATTCTAATAATATTCAATATGTCTGAAGCAATAAGCAGTGATGTTATTAAGAAGACTCAATCAACACTTGGAAAATTTGTGAAAAAGCCACCTCTAAGCGATAAACTTTTATCAAAACCGCCTTTCAGATTTTTGCACGATGTTATAATGGCGGTTTGTAATAATAATAATTATAATATTAGATAATGATATCCATTTTTAATTTTTTAAAATTTCAGGTGATGCGAAATACAGGATTTTTCAAAGGTCTGTATTCGAAAGAAGAACTGAATTCTGAAAATGTTAAAGAAAGAGACAATAAAATAATTTTTCTGCAGAAGACAATAGAAGTCGTCAGTAAGTGCAAATATTGATTACGATTACTGAACGTTATAATTTTGATGATGATATTTATTTTATTATATCATTTTCAATTGATTAATATGAAGTGCTATATAAGGCTCAATAATAATTTTATTATGATGAAAAATCGATTGCCTAGTTTAATTGTTATATGAAATTAATTGCATTTTCTAATCTGACAAATTGAAAACTAACTGATCATATATATGAACATATGTATGATATGATAAAATTATATGTTCTAAGAGAAATTACTTACAATTAGATAAAAGCCCACAAAAGTTTAACTAGCAGATTTAACTTGATTGTTCGTGTCTAACTAACAGCATTATTATATTTTTGGTGTCCAAAATTGTTATAAACAAAATTTGATATTCGGTAAATACATTAAGTGATATTTTGCCTAATCAGCAGCAATGTCGCATCGTGGCAATCTGTAATGTATGTTGCATCAACAGGAAAAAAATATTTTTTTAATTTATTTATTTGACCTTTTATATGAACTAGTACATCAGCCAAAAAACTACTTCCAGCATGCATAATTGTACTATCCATATTGGGATTTAATTTAATATAATATTTTATTATTATCATATCATTCTATGTATAAAGGGTGTCCTAGAACTCAACCTCGAACTTTTAAATGCAGCCAAAGTTTAACAACTTTGGTTAAACTTTTTTTTGCATATATTTATTTCCGATCAAAATATACATAATTTTTTAAGGCAATATGCTGGTCTTTATGCCTTTAAAAAGTTTATCTCCAATGAGATATCTCCTTTTTTTATTTTGGTTAAACTGAGACCATTATCTGGCCTCCACTAAGATATATTTTTATTTATTTTGTTCATTTAGATCCGTAAATCTGTAATATTTTTAGAACCACAAACAAAAATAGTGACAGAATTACCCCCAGTTTTCAAAAGTTAAGGTGCCAACTTTTGTTAAACTATGAGATTAAAATATTCAAAATTGGTCCACTTTGAGAGGCCCGCCCATTAAAAACAATGTACTAAAGTGCGCTGGAAAGTACTATCAAAAGTTGGCACCTAATCAGGATACTAAAATGGTAAAATACTCGAAAGTTTCATAATAGAAGTGAAAAAAATAACACGATTTTTGCTAGTGCAATTATTCACAACGATGGAACTTGCCAACACACTTTAATAGGGGGAAGTCCTCTAGTGGCGGACACCCAAGGTTATTTATAAATAAATCAAAAAATATTTTACGAAATGTTTATTAAATTATAACTTTGTTAAATAACAAAGTTAGAAATCAAACTAAAATAACAAAAACGCAACCTTTGATAAAAATAATAAATACTATCAATGAAACTTTGGTAACCAAAATATATTTTGGTTACACATTACATATGTGATGAATGATCAATCATATATGATTGATCATTCATCACATATGTAGCCATCTCCACACTTTGGAATGTCTGCACATGTGTGTTTGACGAATATTGTTAGATATTGCAAAAAAGTCACTATTCATCCACCATTTTGGCTGGGCCACACAGATGCTCTCAGTGGGAGCATTCATCATAAGCTTTCATACGAAAAATGGGGGTATGTAGTGACCGTTATCACTCATACAGGACGAAATTAAATAATTAGAATAAATTACGTAAGTTTTCACAAAAAATATCAATATGTTTTCTGTCCGGCGCTAAGAGACCACTTAGTGTCCGGTGCTAAGGGACAGATATATTTTCGTTCATTTGGTGGTACCTAGTAAAATTGTTTAAAAGATCTAATAATATTCTACCATTTTACGGATAACAATCAAGTACTACTTTTATCTTTGAATACCACTCAAATGTAAATGAATAAATATACTAGAAGCACTTCAATTGATATTTAGGTGACAGTAAACGGTTGCTCCCGCCGCGGCCGTGTGTATCACAGGCCTGTACCTATGTCTAGGGGCCATTTTCACTTGCATTTTGAAATGAAAAGATTTATACTCGCCTAAATATTACGTGTTAAATAGAGTGTACGGCGCTAGGAGTCGTCCGGCGTTACAGAACTCTCTCCTACATATTTTTTCAATGGGAGCTTCTCAAAGTCGACCAATTTTAAAATTTTTTAATTCATAGTTTAATAAAAAACTTAATTCTTTAGGTGCTATTGTGTAATTATTTAAACTGTAGCCCCCTAGAAATGTTATTTATGGTTATGGTTCCCAAGCTTATATGCACAAAAATAATATAAGGTCATAGTTCAACCAAAGCTCTTAGTTCCACTTAAAAGCTCAGAACTTTCAAACTACGTGAAATTGTTTTTCTAATTTTTTTTTTCGCGATAGTTATAACCCGGATTTGGCTTGACGTTTAGTTCTGAGACACCCTGCATATAATATTAAAATTTATGAATTATCTTTCCTCAAATATATAAAAATGTCGATATGAAAACTTTATAACAATCAAAATAGTCAACTTTTAAATCAATATTTTCATGAAGTCATTTATTAAAGATATATTTTTTTACAACGGTATATTTATAGCAGCAATTTCTCATATATAATTTTATAAAACAGAAATGGTTACTGGAAAGCCACTAACGGTGCGTCCATCGAAAATAATATCCGGCCACGAACCCGAGAAAACTAATGAACTTCTACAAGCAATAGGTTTTGCAATAGAAAACAATTTAAGTAGCACCGATGCGACAAATCAGATTCTGAGAAAAATGTCCAAGAAGGACGGAAATACTACAGATCGAAAATCCACAAGGGTATCCCCGCCAAAGATTAGTCCACCAAAAACAGTGTCCAGTAGCAAAACAAGCAGTAAAAGCGGATCCAAACCGGATACAACCAGAACTAAGCAGCAAGCCGATTCGCGAACAGAAGCTTCTAATAAGAGGAAGATAGATTCAAAGACAAAAGACAAACCTTTAGAAGTCACTGGCAAAAAGGAAGTTACTAAATCAACTTCTTCTAAAGAAACTAAAAATTTACGAAAACCTACTAAACCTGATGCGCCACGCAGTGCTGAGTTGGAAGCGCCTGGTAAAGCGGCAAGTGACCCTGAAGAAGTTGCATCAGGACCAAAACTTGATCGGCAAAAAACTGAAATCATTGATCCTGCAAAGATACCCTCGCCGGTTGATATTTCGAACGACCAGGCCAATAATGACGATTCAAAGCCTCCAATTGAGGAAAAATCGGTTTCAAGAAAAAGTTCTCTGACAGATAAACATCATGTTTCAGAAAAGCCTAATTCAAGAAAAAGCTCAATAACCGATAAGACAGAGCTATTACAGAGACAGCGAAGCAGAGCAGATAGTTTGAAACCTTCTTTAACTGAAACCATAAAAAGTGACAAAAGTGAAGTATCATTAGATTCAAATATAAATTTGAATAATGAAGCAAACACAGAAAATAAAAGCGTTACCTCTAAACATGAGTCAAAATCAGAAGAGCTCCGTTTGAGTGGTGATGGTATGCATTTAAATTCCAAATTACCTAGCAATGTAGATAAAGCAAAAGAGAAAAAAATTGAGCAAAGCTTTGAGAAAAATGAAAATACTACTCATATCGATGAAAATTCTGAAACAATAAGCAACACCTCTAAACAAGATGCTGAAAAGCCGATTGCTAAAGAAGTTCAAATGAAATCAGCTAGACCTCCTTCTGTAAGACCAAAGACTAGTTTGAGGCCCCCTAGTGTTAGACCAGTTTCTGCCAGACCTGGTGCACCAAGAATCCGTGATAAGCATTCAGATATTGTCATTGAACCGGAGGAAACTACAACATTAGGCAAGGTAATAATTGGATTACTTTATTTTTATTTTATTATGCATAGCATAAATATATAAAATCATACAGTCTTAAGCGTTAATGTAGTATATGGAGCTTTATTGCCTTTTTTACAAACGTACGTGGCAGGTGTTTCTTTTTTTTTTCAAATTATTGATCAGTGTTGCATAGTTTATAAAATCCTAACATTTGATAAAAACTAAGTTAAATCAACATGTTTCTATATGTTTTTTGTAAAGGTTTTAATATTTAAAAAAGTTTATATTGATGATAAATTGGGCTATTTTCATGAACTAAAGATTTTTTTCAAAGTGCACAATAAATTAAATTATTAAAAATTTGTCGTTTAAGATGTTTACGTATGCATAACTGCACATAAATAATTATTTATTAAACATTATAATCTTTGACGCAATTTTACGATCGCAACTCGCTTTTATGCGACTTATAATGTGGAAAAGTATTAACTAATATTTTTCAGAAACGATATATAATTAGTT